AAATATACACTGAAAGAGGGTGATTCATAAATAGGAATGATAAGAGAAGAAGTGTAACAAAAATCATCTGATACAGTAATAAGAAAGTGCAACATGATCACCATAATGAAATTAGTATAAGGTGAAAATCTAAATTGATATGTGATTTGAAAGAAATAAAAAAAATATATGAATTTGAACATGAACAAAATCGTAACTTAAGTGATTGTACATTTATGTTTTTAAAGAAAATTTGGAATTCAAACCTAAGAAAAAGCAACTAATATCTAGTTGTATTAAAGGAAATTATAAATTATTGTAGAAGACTAAAAATATTGATAAATACATGAGGGGTGTAACTTTTTTTATAAAAAAAATAACAAAAAAAGGTTTTTGATAAATAATTTTTGGCCTTCCCACTCTTGTAATTTCTCCCTTTAAATTATAACACAAAACTTTGTTTGATTAGCGAAAGGGTAGATTAGTAAATAAGTTTACTCAAGAGATAAAACTTTGTTTACATGCAAGGGACATAGGCATCTTTTGTCAGGCGTATGAAAATAATCATGATTATGATCATGTCGTCCACAGTACAAAACTGTGGTTGGTGAAGCAAAGAGATAAAGTAGGGTGAACTCATGATCAAACAGTGTAATAAATAATCACTAACAATATTCCCAAAATTTAATTAGTGGATCTAGATCAGTAATTAGAGTTTTAAAGTCTTCTGATGTGTTTAGAGCATTAGTGATTGTATTAGTCTCAATGGTCAAATTTTAATTAGCTACAATAATGTTTGGATCTCACAATAAAAGTGTTAAGTAGTGTGTTAGTTGGTTTCGTTAGTGTCAGTTGTTAACGGTGGCTAGCATTTTAGCAAGTGTGAGAGAGAGGTAAGAGGGAGAGGGGGACGTGGGAAAGTGCCTTGGGATTGTCTGATCAGATGTCTAGTTGGTCATCCCCCGGACATAAGTCATAACTTGATCCTAACTCTATTACAGGGTCGGACTTAAGTCATAACTTGATCCCAAAGGTTTCAGTGAACAGACCCGCCACATGTCTTGCCCAATTCTGCTGTCTTCATTTATTGCACCTTAACACATTATTTATATATATAATACATACACCTTTAACACATATTATTTATATTATTTTATTTATTATTTATAGGGAAGTGATTGAGACCCCCTCCAATCATCACCCCCATCACCCCACACACGTGGTGGGTGGTGATTGGAGGAGAAGGAAAAAAAGAAAAAAAAAACCGGCCAATCAGAGAAAGAGGGGGTCAAAGGGGGTACCTCCTTGAGGGGGTCCAACTCATTTTTCTTATTTATATATGTATATACACTTAACACACATCTTAACACATACCTTAACATATTACTACCACTCACTCTTTAAAATTAACAAACTCTTAACACACATTTTTAGGTCCTACTTTTATTACTTTTTATCAAATAACACACATTTTAACAAGCAATTTTAGCTATCCAATTATGAATACTCTTAGAATCGAATGGAATAATTATTCAATTAGAACTTTGAAAAGTGAATGTTAATTTTATTTATAATATATTTATTATTTTTTTTTTTTAATGAACCAAACATAAAAATACACATTCTAATAAAATATTTATTGTATTTCGTTATATTTTTTTTATTTCAGTAAAACCAAACAGTACTTCAAGAATAGAATAAAGAAAAAGTTATGGCATAAAGGAAAAGATGTGGAAACAACATCACTACAACACATAAATACCCTTTAGCTTTTCCCAAATACTTTACTCTTGGAAAAAGTTTACAGTGTATTAAATATAAATTTTAAAAAATAAAAAAAGAAAAATTCTAAAGTTGAACAAAGACTGGGTGCCATCCAATTAAACTAACCATTTTTTCTTTGTTTCTTGTTCCTTGTTCCTTGATTTCTGTTTTCTTGCCTTTTGGTGTAAAGTTTTCCAATATTTATTTTTTGTGTATACAAACATTAAAATAATAAATTAAAAATGAAATTTATTAGTACTATATAAAATGTCATGACATATAATACTAAATTTAATTTGACAATTTCAAATATAGTTAATATATCTAGCCTACTTTTAAAGGGATGAAGTTTACTCAAATATGATTATTTTAACATTACTTTTTCTTCAATAATGGTTCACAATATTAACTTTGCTTGGACAAAATAAAAGAAAAGAATGTACTACATTTCAAAAGAAAAGTATGGCTCACAATACCACCCTTGCTATGTACATAAATAACAAATTGCACCAATTGTTTTGTTAGTTACTCCACCAACTTTCTTTCCTTGTTTCTCACAAGATTACCCTTGGATTACACATAACACCTTTTCTTTTTTCTTTTCTTCATTTTTTTAATTTTTTTTTTAATTATTATTATTATTTTTATGAAAAAGAACCCCTCTTTTGATAGTGTTGCTGTAAAGGAATCAAGTCACTATTTGAATTAAGAAATGAAAGCTAAAACACTATTCATTAGGTGATGTAGAGGTGGGTGAGGCTCTGCTCTATTATACAAACAATTTCTTCTTCTTCTTCTTCTTCTTCTTCTTTTTTTTTTTCTGTAAATCATATATAACGTAGTGGGTAAAAAAATTCAAGTTATATCTTAGGTGATGGAATCCGAAACGATGAACCTTGTGGGTAAATCACGTGCTTCACAAATCACAAACTATGAATATTCACCATTGCATTGATACCACAGTATGAGCATCATCCACACCAGTCACAGTGCAAAGGCTTAACTGTTTTACAAATGGAAGAGAGTTAGAGAAAGAGTATGGGAAAAATATCAATCATTATTCTAATCATCCCACATCCCATATCCCATATATAACGTACCTGATATAAAGATTGTCCAACTATTTATCCACATCTGTTGATAAGATATGATAGATAAAAATATAAGATAGTGGGCAATCCAAAACTAAGGATAGATAATAATTTAAATTCAAAAATCAAATTATTTAGATAATCTGATATTGGTCATGGATCATGCCACATGGGCGCCCAAATCCAGGTCCAATACCTGGCCTAATTTCCAACACTCTCTATAAATTTTAGGGTAAACTACTAATAGGTCCTAATAGTTGGATTTAATTCTCATCAAGTCCTATTGAAAATAAATCTTGGTAAAATTGTCGCTAAAAATAATTTTTTTGTGACAATTTTTATATGTGTCGCTAAAAATTGACAATTATTGATTTTTTTTTTGTCATGATTTTTATAAATTAGCGCTAAAACTTACAATTAGTGACTTTTTTTTATGACAAATCTTTCCCATAAGACCTGTTAAATAATAAATCTACTTATTAGGACCTACACGTAAGTACCCATAAATTTTACTTTATTAAATAGGTTTATCCATGTCTGATGTGATGTATTAGGTTAAAATGGTAAGTGGTCATTTTGTTTTTCTAATAAAAAAATAGAAAAAAATCTTGGATGTGCACCTATACAAAATTACATATGTGATCTCACAAAAATACATAAATTTAATACAAATTCGTGTAATCACATAAGTTTTCGTGAATTTATGTAAATTTATATTCAACTTTTATATTTTTGTATAATCACTTATATAAATTTATGAAAATTTATATATTTTTGTGTAGATTACATACCGTATGCATTGTACACCAAAACATTTCTCAACGTGAAGAGGCATAGTTATATAATTATATTATAGTAATTCATGAAATAATAGTCATCTAAAAGCAATCACCACGAATAAAAATTATCATCTAGGTTTGGAACATTGTAATTGTGTTCTCAAGTATTAAGTATTAAGTTTTTTTTTTTTTTTTTGAGGTTATATAAATACAAAGTCTCTTAATATTTAAGGAACACACTACCAACATAGTATTACTAGAAGTTCAAGAATGGACACGTAGAGATTTTTATAAAATCACCTAACTCTTTTCATATCCTAATTTGTTTGCAACCTAGGCCATGGGTTGGGTGGGATTGAAAAAAAAAAAGGATAATTCCCAACTTGTAATTATCAAAGAAATCTAATTTAAACTAGATGGATTGCATTTTTTATTTTTATACAACTTGATGGATTACATATGTTTACACATGTAATGATGTTATTGAGGCCAAGTTTGAAAAGTTGAAAATAATTCATTTTTTATCTTTTTATCTTTTTTTTATCACATTACCTCTCTACTATATTTTTTCATAAAATGATAAAAAATACACTTATTTAGTTCATCCCAAACAACCTGAATTTGATTTAATTATTGGCATGCTAACAATTGTATGATTAGGTTTGGTTTCCTATGGTTGGATATTCAACATATTTTATTTTGGTCACAGACATTGATGCCTAACACACACGTGTTGCGTAAAAAGAGTGACAAATGCCCCAAGATCTCAATGATAGAGCCACCTGGTTTGGTTTGAAATTTGATTGATGGGTCGGTCCTCTTAAAACTCCTCAAGAACGTGTCTCCTGCATATCCAACCACATGATCTCCTCAAAATCATAACATGACCCCATTTTGATAAGATTATTTGAGCTTGTCTGGTATTTAACTCGCTAAAATTTATTTGAGCTTAATTTGTTAAGTAAATAAGTTAAAGTATTGATATAATTATAAATTTTTTAAATTTTTAAATCAAATTTGAAAAATTTATTATTTGACTCAATAAATTTATATGTATTATAAAAAATTAAACTATTCGAACTTGACTTGTGTTTAATTTGCTAAAAAGTCATTTGCAATCGGTTCATTATATAAACGAACCAAGTTTGGGGGTCGTTTTCTAATAATTTTTTAATTTTTTATCAAAAGATATACAAAAAATTAGAAATAATAAATTGACTTTTTATATTTTTGACTTTTTAACTAAAAATATGAGTAATTAAACAAAATTTAAATATAATTTTACACTTATTAAATTATCAAATCAAACTATTACGTGCCTCATTTTTAGGCTTACATTTTGGTAACACTAAAATATAAAATAGAAGATAAGGTACACTTGACCCCTTTTAAAATTTGAAATATGTATATATATATATATAATAAATTTTACAAGTTTAGAAGAATTATGTTGATCTCTTTTAAGATTTTGATTTACAAAACATTTTACGTTATCTAAAAATAAAAAATAAAAAAAAATAAAAAAACATTTTCTATTTTCATCTCTTTACACTAAAATACCTATTTTAATTTATTTATTTTTGTATTTTTACATTTTTTTACATTAGTGTAAGTCTCTTTAACTTTACTAAAAGTGAGATAATCATAGGCCTTATTTAGGAACTTGAGTATTTTTGTTGACTTTTTAACTATTTTATGAGATAAAAAAAAAACTGTGTTCGGGATGATTGTGAATTTTTTTATAATTGAATAGATGATTGTGAGAGAAAAAGCAATTAATTGATGTATAGAATGTGATATTTTGACCTATTTTAAGAAGTTGGTTAAAAAAATAAAGAGATAATATGACTTAAAAAATTAAAAAAATAAATAATTTCTAACCGTATTACTTAAATAGACCTTTATCTTATTAGTTATTATAATATTTTTTATTTTTATCAATTATTTTAGCCAAAATCTTTGTTCGCGAAGGTTGATTTTTTTTGGGTGAATAATAAAAGCTGATTTGTTATTGAAGTAGTACAGTAAAAGTTGTTCTTCGCCTCTTTGCGTTGGGATCGTCTAGAGCGAAACCTGTGAAGTCATAATGGAGTGAATGGTGTGGGCGCGACGCGTGTCCCACTAAAGGTGAAGGGCTGAGATCTTCCTTCCAAACAACGACGTCGTTTTAGATAAGGATAAATAAATTGCAAATATACCTGATATTTACTTAAAATATAAATTACTTTTGTAATTTTTCAATTACAAATATCTTTATTAGCATTTTTTATTTTAACAGAATTAACTAAAAAAAATAAAATTCATAATTATTTTTTTATATAATAATAAAATTATATGAATTATTAATTTAAATATATTTTTAATATTATTAAAACTGTTTATTAACTTGATTATTTATTAATAAAAAGATAATTTATTATAAAATTAAAAAATTTAGAAATAAAATGTAATTTTGTATATTTTAATCAAACCTTAACATGTATTTGTAATTTATCAAGAAATTTGAATTCAGCTCAGCCAGAAAGGGGTCGCGACGAAGCCATTGTTGAAGAAACTTGAACAATAAATGCTCTTGCCTTATTGATTAAGGTCTAGATTTATATTTGGTTTTTCAAAATTCATATATTTATTGCTATATGGATTTATATATTTAACCATGATCGATGTATTCATATTCATCACATCACATTTCAATTCGGATTGAATCGGTGACCCTTTAAACCCAATTCGTATTAGGGTTCTTTTTTAATTTTTTTATCAACACCTGTAAAACTGGCTCTCACTTAAAATCGCTTCAGCATGTCTTGAACTGGTTGTTATTGATCAATCTTCAATGGGTTCAGAAAATATTGATGAAACAGAGAAGAAAATTTATAGAGACTATTTTCTTTCTTTGTTTCTGGCTAATAGTAAAAACTATTCATGAAAAATCAAAGATTACATTTTGCATATATCTGAAATTGTTGAATTTGGTTTAGTATTTGATGTTTCTTTGGATTTGGATAACATAGAACGCAATTTAATGCTGTTGCACAATGGCCTGTCAACTGTTTGATAAAATGCTTATAAGAAACTTAGGCTACTAAAATGAAGTGAGTGATACTATATAACTTTTGATTAGTGGGTTCAAAGATTGATTTGAAATAGCTAACCTTTCTATGTCGCGACATGTAACTGGACCAAAGCATTACTGGTTGATCGGTTTTGTTGCTTCTGGTGTTCTAAATGTTAATGTCTTGGAGACAATTTCGAATATATGATGGCTTTGTGGTTGCTAGTATTTTATATCTGTTGTAGGCGTTGAATCGATATGTTGTGTGGAAAACCGAGCCACTTGCCCTTCAACTTTTGCTCCTAGTATATCTTTTCTTTTAGTAAAAGGTGTGCACTGAGTTTGTTACTAGAACATTAAAAGAAAAGGAAAAAAGAGAAAAAATAGTGTTATAGTTCATTTTTAGATGAACTAATCTCATACTAGAACCTATTCCAATTTCAATTGACATCAATATCTGTTGTTGTTTCTCCTTTTCTTTTCTTTAAAGGAAATTAGTTTTGTGTTTGGTCACATTGGTGCAATATATTCCTGAACAGGTGAATATATGGGTTCAGAGATTGAAATTGTTGAGGAGAGATTGAAGTCTTTCCTTGGTCAACTCCAAACAGAATGTGGCATCCTTGATAGAATTGTATACAAAAACAAGAATCAGCACCGACGATGCTCATATTTTCAGTACCTTCTAAAGGTTGTTATTCCCTATGAGCAAATATGTGCAAATAGGTACATAAATATATGTAATGCATGTAATTGTCTTTTTAATCTTAGTTTATCATATTCATGTGATGTTAGGTGAGGAGAGATTTGAGGCTTCTGCAATCAGCTCACATAGAAGAGATTGTTAGCTCCTCCTTTCAAGTTATCCATGGGACAAAACCTAAGCAAAAGGTGCAGCTTTTAGAAAGGTAAATTTAATCTTAATTCCCCATCTATAATGTTGTAATCATATCATTGTGATTCTTTATTGACTTTAAGCACAATGTGAATATAAATGTATATGGTCCATAGTACACACAAGCCCAAGTTGATATTTAATTATCAACTTCATTGGGTTGTGTCTGTGTGGACAATGTGATGGAATTGCTATTTGTACTCCATTTCTCTACTCCAACGTCTTATAAGGATTGAAGATGGCATTCATTACATTGGTAGAATGATTGGTAATGAGAATGTGCATGTCAAGGAGTAAGATGACGGAGTAATAAAATGCTGTTTACTTATCATTGCTCAATGCTCATAAATAACATTTTAGTAGTTTAATTATTTATTTATTTTGCCATAGTTTGAAGAGGAGAAAATGTGATAGTGGAAAACATAATTTTTTGGAGCGGCTCTTAGGAGCTGCACGCCTAGTGTCACAGGTGAGTTCTGCTTTCTTCTTTTTAGTTTATTTGTTGTTCCTTGTTATTATTTAGTGGTATATGTATGTTTCAATGCCTTCTATACTTTCATTTTGTAGCTTATCTTTCTCTCTCTACATAAATTGATTCCAGCAATTTGACTACAAATACAATACTAGTCAGCCCTGCATTGTTTGTAGCTCTTTATATATGTGACAATTACCTGATTGTGGATCCACGTGCTAGTAGGTAACAAAAATGAAGATAAAGAAGGGGATTGAAAAAAGATAATTTTTAAGAGCTCCATTCCATTGTATTTACATCATACAAGGTTAGAGAGAATTGGGACTTACCATAAATAAGGGGATTTGGGAATACCACATGTTGGTACAGTTGGTTGGAAGGTTAATTCCCAAACTGTAGACAACATGGCCACAACCTGTCTCAAGAAGTAGACATTTTGAGTTTGATTATTTTTGGTGTAACTACCACCTACATTTGGTCACCTGGTGCCCTTAGGGCCCCGTTTGTTTTGGGATGTAATGGATGGGAGGGGATTGGGATGGAGGTGAGATTATTTAGTGTTGTGTTTGTTTGTAGAATTGATGAAGGGATTATGATGGAGGATGGGATTAAGATGGGGGTTGGAAGGGGGATTGGGATGGAGGAGGTGGAGGTGGAGGTGGCATTAGAAAAATAGTGAAGGGATTAGAAATTTATTTTTTACATATTAGGAATTTTTTTTAAACATTAATTTTTTATATGTTTTATTATTTTATATAAAAATAATTTAACAATTCCTACACCAACAACTATCATAAAAACAAACACAATTTTGCTTAGTCCCCTTACTATCAATCCCCTCACTAACAATCCTCTCACTATTAATCCCCCCACTATGAATCCCCTCCATTCTACCTCTGAAAACAAACGAGGCCTAAATGATAAACATTTCATTTAGGCATTGCATTTTTGGGCTGCAAGAAACCAGCAAAAATGATACCATATCTTACATGTAGTAAACTGAATGCCTCTTCTACGTTCTATCCGTAGTTGTAAAAGGTGCTCAAGGCGACAAGTTCTTCTAGAGTGCCCAAGTGCAATGCACAATATAAAGTGCAGCCTGAGAAGTAATACATTTGGTCACCTGGTGCCCTTAAATGATAAACATTTCATTTAGGCATTGCATTTTTGGGCCGCAAGAAACCAGCAAAAATGATACCATATCTTACATGTAGTAAACTGAATGCCTCTTCTACGTTCTATCCGTAGTTGTAAAAGGTGCTCAAGGCGACAAGTTCTTCTAGAGTGCCCAAGTGCAATGCACAATATAAAGTGCAGCCTGAGAAGTAAGGTACTTTTGTGATAGGCTTGTGTATTAAATATACTTGCTACTGAAAGCAATTTGAAATATGTGACGTATAAAAAAGGTGAAGTGTTGACATATCAGTTAAGAGAGTTACGTAAATGGATATACATGTCAATCTTTTCAATTTGTATATGCAACCACTAAATCAAATATTGATTGCAAAATTGGTAGAAATAAAAAAGCTATCTGTTGCTTTTAACTATATATTATATAATTCTAAAATCTAAGAATTCCGACCTGCCAGCCGGCGTTGAATCCGCTCCAACACTCCATCCCATACCCCTTGGCCTTAAACGTTGCCCCCAGAGGCAAACCCAGATAAGTAGCTGGCAAAGCCGATTCCTTACAACCTAACACCGCTGTTAAAACTGATAATCTGTCCACAGTTTCCACCGGGATCATTTCCGACTTTCTCAAATTCATCTGAAGGCCTGAAACTGCCTCAAAACACAACAAGACACATCTCAAATAACCCACCTGCTCCATCACCGCCCCACAAAAGATCAAAGCATCATCAACATACAGTAAGTGTGAAACAGAAATAGGCGTCCCCATAATAGGACCCACCATAAAACCCTCCAACAAACCCTCATGTACCATCTTATCCAACAATCTACTCAACGCCTCCATCACTAAAATGAACAGCAGTGGAGACAGAGGATCCCCTTGACGAAGACCCCTAAAGATCGGGAAAAAACCTGCCGGAGTACCATTTACTAGAACCGACATCCACACAGTAGAAATACAGAACCGAATCCACCGACACCAAGTTTCGCCAAAGCCCATACGCTCCAAAACATATAACAGGAACTCCCATCGGACATTATCATAAGCCTTATCAATGTCCAGTTTACAAATCAAACCTAGTTGTCCCTGTCGAAATTGAGAATCCACACACTCATTAGCCACCAACACTGCATCCAGAATCTGATGACCCCTCACAAAAGCATTCTAGGACTTTGACACCACTGCTTGCAGAACTGTCGAAGCCTATTTGCCAAAACTTTAGCAAGAAACTTGTACACACTACCAAGCAGACTAATAGGCCGAAAATCACGAATATCCTCCGCCCCCCCTTTCTTTGAAATTAGAGCCAAGAACGTCGCATTCAAGCTCCTCTTAAAATGCCCTGACATAAAGAAAGCCTCCAAAGTTGCCATCACATCTGTTCGAACCACACACCAGTAATGCTTAAAGAAGGCCATAGTAAAGCCATCCGGGTCAGGCGCTTTATCTCCACCCATCATCCGCAAAGCCCCCAACACCTCATCTTCAGTAACAAGACGCTCCAAAGCCTCCCTATCGGCCACCGAGATCATATCAAACTGAACCCCAACCATCCGTGGCCGCCATTCCTCTGCTTGCGGCCAAAACAGATACTGGTAAAAACCCACAATCCCCTCTTTGATCTCCTTATCCATACCCAAATCTCGACCATCCACTCGCAATTTGTTGATCTGATTTACCCAACGATGTGCATTAGCCATCTGATAGAAGAACATTGTACTCCGATCCCCATCCTTTAACCACAAACACCGAGACTTCTGCCTGAAACTCACCTCCTCCATACGAGAAATACGAACAAAATCCTGCCTAGCGGCCTCCCTACGAGCAATATCATCAAGTAACAAACCCCCATTAGCCTCTAGCTCATCCAAGGACTGGAGCAAGGACACCACCTCTGCCTTTTGGCCCTCTAACTGCCCAAACACCTCCTTATTGTTAGACGTCGGCAGCATGTGTGGTCATTGGTGCCTTTTTGTTTGATGTGGTTGGTTTGGTTAGAGCGCAACAGACGAACTTTTCAAGAGGTCCACCACAGTGTTTCGTGGCTTGAGAGTCGTCTTCTTACAATCTTGTATAGTTGGATGGAGGAGAAAGTTGATCCTGATTTGTTTGAGTTGTTAGATTTTTTAGATGTTATCATTGGTTAGGTTTTGGTAGTCTCCTCTGCGGTTTTGTATTCTTTGCATCATCTTGATGCTTCCGCAATAAAGTTAATTTTATTTATCAAAAAAAATATATTCTAAAATCTAAGAATTAGGCACTAGATAAGTAGCTAATCATAAGCTCATGAATCTAAAATACAAAATACTAGAAGTGGACAATATTATCTATCTGTAAGACTGTAATATATGGTATAAATCATTTCAATTAATGACTATTGAAAAATAAAAGATAAAAAATAAAATTGGATAATGGTACCTAGGCTTTTGTCTTAATCTTCTCCTCAGGTGATAGTGTGGATGATTGTATTACTACCTTAAGGATGTTTAGTGCATATGAACTAAAAACAGCATCCTGCCTCACCCCTGCAAGTTTGTTTTCTAAATTGGACCAGGTTGACCCACTCCCCATTAAGTTGTTTGTATTTTGGAAAATCAATGTCTCCCTTGTTTAGGTTTTAAGCACTTTTATTTGGCAAAGTTGGACCCTCCCTACTTTCGAAGGAAATTTACCAAATATTTGAAATTTAAAAACCAGTTAAGTTCTAGCCAACTAAACTGGATTTGACCCTAATTTTCATGACATTAGGGTAGGCAGCAGGTTTGCATGAGTTACTCCCTAATTTTCTTTTTTTTCGGCTTCTATTGCAGATGGTTGAGCCAATGTTGAAGGCAGCTATGTATCCTTTTCTTTTCTTTTCTTTTTGTGGCTAATGTCTATATTTCTTGTGCTTGTCTGTATTGTTAACATTTGAAATTGGTTTTGAAAGCTGTTGGGTGGGCTTAGAATTTTATTTAAACTATCTGATTGACTCATATATAAGTTTATTGCATGAAAGATAATTCAAAAACAACTCAACAAATTTTTGTTCTAATTACTTAGGGTTGGCTACTTGGATTCATTTCTCCAATTGATTTTACTCGGTCACATCCTCGGGTAGTTTTATCATATCCTCAGTTTGATCTCCAAGCTTATTCACCTATTTATTCTCTACTTTTAGGTATCGTAAGATAAGTTGGCCATTTTCCATGTATCTTTGTATTTTGAGCTTTGCTTTTAAACGTAGTAGTCAACGTTACATCTGAATTGTCCATATGGAGAACAGGCCTAGGTCACTTGGTCTTTTACCATGTACAATTTATTCGTGAGATCGTGTGAGTATTGTTCAGACAATGCATTGTCACACCTTAACTATCTACAGAGAAATATCTACTTTACTTGCTCGATCATTTTTCATGGGGTTTTCTGTTACAATTTTGGCTTTGCTTGCACGCCTACGAGTTTTGGTCCAACAAGTAAGCTTCATTTGCTTTCTAGAAAAACCTTTAGACTTCATGTTAGTGTTTAATTTTCAGGCTCATAGGTGATCCAATTTTTGTAGGGGATTACTATTCACACTCCATTTTTTTGATAATTCATCAATGGGTAAAACATGATACAACAGGTGAAGAAGTTGGAATGTGAAATAGGCGACATCAAGTGTATGGATTTAAGGCTTTGTCGAGATGAATTAAGATATAACTTACAATGGATAAAAACATTGCAGTTGGTATTTATTTGAACCGAGTCGAGGCATCTTATACAACAAAAGAGAACCAGAGTGTAACACAGGAATAAGGTGTGGCTAATCTAGAATCTTTCTAAAATGAAATGGCCCAATTCTAGTTCTCTTTAATTACAAAGATGCCATCATGGGTTTTTTCTTTTCTTTTTTCCCTGGTAAGTCATCATGGTTGATTTCTTCATTTATGAAATCGAAACCTGTGCCAGCCTCTCTTATTTATGTAATGACCCAATCTAGAATTTTTGTAATTCCATGGTCACAACTTTCCTCCTTCCTTTCTACCAAACCCCTATATCCCTTTACTATTTTGCCTCTGAACCCTATAAAGTTGTCGCACTAAGATAGGCTAAATTAGATTAGTAAACAAAGTTGATATGGAATTCATTATGCACACTTTTGGTATGAGATTCATCAGATATGGTTCCTAAATTAATTAATTAACAAAATCTTAATCATCTAATAAATGGAGTTGCAAAATTGCTATCATTGAAATAGTGGTATGAGATCTCATAGTTTAGTGCCTATGAGTAGGACAGTCTGAATTTTATCGAAGTCACATTTTCCGTTGCTTCTTGTGGGAATGAAACTTCGAGTAGTTTTGCTTCCAAAGTGAATCTATTTCTTTTGTGTTCTACAGATATTACTCGATGTTGTAACAGTATTCAACATGGTTTCTTCTCTCTCTCAAAAGGAGCAGTCTGTAAAATTAACTCATGAAGGATTTGAGGTCTCTCTACTCCTTTATTGTTAACTGAATGTTTTTGGCGAAGATCGATCTTTTCTCCATTGCCTTGGGTCCACAACTTGTTTTTTCCGTTTCTCTGTGATACTTTCAGGTATTTACAGAATATTACCCAATGAAAGACCAAGTTGTCTTGCTGGACTGCGTGTGGGAAACAGATAAGTTTGTATTACATGAGAGAATCAATAAAAGCCAGACTGAATGTCAAGACAGGGAGACTAGAGAAGTCTCTCTAGAAGCATCTGCAATTCAGTATCAAAGTATTGAGGTTTTGCTTGGTGGTAAGAATGTTCATGGAATTGCATTTATTCTTTCTATACCTGAGCTTCTTCTAGGGAAAGGATTTTCCAAACAAGTTCTCTCTCTTTGTTCTTTTTCTTTATTATTTTTTTCCCCATAAATATGAAATATGATAGGTACTTTGCATTCATTGGTGACATAGTCTAGTAGAGTAAACTTCACCAAAGACTTATGGACGGTGTTAAACATGGCACAATTGGTTAACTCATTGAATTGAAGCAATAGATGCCCCATAAAATGAAACTTGTAGCTGAAGATTCATTATTGTCTTCTCTGCTCATGCTCATTCCATTGTAAAGTAACCAAATTGCAGACCTTGTTTTGAATGGTCTATTCGACATGTGGGTTATTGCAACTTGTTCATAGTTGCAACAATTCCTTTGCCCTAGTCTCACCTAGTGGATGGTGTTTCTTTCCATCAGCATGGCTATGAAAATTTAGTTCTACATCTTTTATGTCTAATTTTTACTCGACTCTGTAGATGACGAATCTGGCAAGGAAGATCCAAACTGCACTTCTGACGGCCTCGCTCACATCAAGGTCAATAATACTTGTTCATTTGAAGGTCCTGTGATCGAGAATGATGATGCGAAGAAGATTGAACATTGTTCAAAAGTGGAAGATGTTTCAGGATCTCCAAGAGAGAACCTGCCCTCTGAAATTGGCTTGCCTACGGATTCAAGTTCATCTGTGCGTTCAGATCCTTTAAAACTTAAACCCGGATCAAAAAATAAAGTGGCGTTCATATCAGTAAACAAGCCTGCAGTATCAACAACAAATGTAACTGAGCTTCACATAAAGGGAACTGAGAGTCGGAGTGATGACAAAGAAGATCCATTCTTCAGTCTACTTCCCGGTGGAAACCTCAAGGATAGTCTATTCTGAATACTGATCAGTTCAAGCTGTTGATCTTTAATAGAATGACTTACACTGCATCTTGATCGGGTTTTTTTCCTTTTTTAAGAGATGGTAATTAAATTTTTTCAGTTGTGTAGGAACCTTTACAGGTTGAAGTTCACCTCATTCGGTGTAATTTTGGAACTTTGGGATGCAGCAATTTTGTTTTTAATATCATAATATTGATTCAATAATCATTTAAATTGCATATACATTTACAAGGTTTTTTTTGAAAATAAATTAAATTAGATTAAACAATAACACTATCACAAGGACAACAGCCAGCTAAAGCATCCCATTCAAATGGACTGGAATAACGAAACTCCAGCTAAGCGAAAAGATTAGAAGGTACAAGGATTAATATTTGGAAATTTGTCAATTGAAACATAAAGACATTAACACATAATTGTAATGAAACTATTGATAACTATCGATCACGCCTTCTGAGCTGAAAACCCGAGGATAAGATCTTTAATTTCATCACTGGCTGCTTTATCAACTGCAGTCAGTCCATTTGCATCCTTGACAGTGTAACTAGCTCCGGCTCTTAGCAGCTCTTCGATCTTTGGCTTGTCACCTTCTGAGGCAGCCATCATCAAAAGGATATCGACGGGGTGGATGTTTTGGCTTAAAAGAGCCTCCATCTTATCATATGTACCCTCAACGGCAAGCATTCCCATGTAGTTGAAGTACTGCATAGCATAAACACAATCTTTTAGTCCTAAGTTGGCTTATTTTAGCCAAAAATATGCGATACTTTGCTAGATCTGCATGCAATTAGGCCAAAGATGAGAGAGCATTTTTACTCTCCTGAACAAATATAATCATGGAAACAACAAAGGCAATGGTCAATTTTTTTTTTTGGCAGATCAAGAATGTATGATTAAAAGACTTCAATGGGTGTTCAAAGAAAAAAGTTTTGGCAGCTTGGGATCCAAATGAGGCATGTAAATTGGAGCCTTGTTCTACATGGAAACAGCCAGCGTAACCGAAAATTTGTATCATAACTCTCTAGTCTGCAAAGTTTTTTTTAGTAAATGTAGGTGGTCTTTGTTTTCTATACTAGGTTCAGTTCATCAGTTGCCTATGTATGTACAAAAATTATTCAGTATTGTGTGCCGCAAGTGAATCAGGACACCTGCATATCAAAGTTAACACAAGACAAGAAATCTACATTTGTCCTCTAGCCAAAGTAGTCCAAATAATCTTTTTTGAACCCCATCATCATTTGTGAGAAATATGACCAAAATGTCTGTTTTAAACTAGGATGGGAGAGGAGAGAGAGTTTCAACAGCAATCTAGAAGTAGTTCTAAGGCATCTCTTTTGGCCACCAGATACATTTCTAAGTTCATTCATGGCTACATGTTATGCCCACCTATAAGAAGCCAAATCCTCCCAAATGAGGTGCACCTTCGACTGGCTCAACCACTAGGCTACTTATCCCATGCCTATGGCCCACCAAGAAATTTTTTAAAAATTCTTACTGTCAAATGTCCCAATTGTTCAAAGGCACAAGGCCTCATTTCGATGTTTAGTCTAAAGTCTCAAAAACCTTTGGGCCACTGCTGACTCCACATAGAATTGGTAGACAAAGCACAACGCTTCTCCAATCTGTACTCCCAGAAAGTTGGCTCCAAGACAAGCACTCACTTATAGCCCCTAATATGGTTTTCCAAATACCTGTAAAATAGCCCCTTGGGATCATAACAAGATGCTCCTCCAGGTACCAAGCTCAGAAATCTGACCAGTCACTGCATCTGTTGTTTAGAGCCCTGTTCTTCTTCCTTTCCTTTTTTTTTTTTTGATAAATATAAATTTAGTTCTTCTTCTTTGCCCACACCAAATATCTTCTTTTGGAATCAGTAACCAAATTAGTGCTCTGATAGGTCCACAAACTGTATCTAAGATTTTAGTTTTTGCTTTGTATTTATTGTTAATATTAAGGGTAGGTTTGGTTAGTTCTTCTTCTTCTTTGCCCACACCAAATATCTTCTTTTGGAATCAGTAACCAAATTAGTGCTCTGATAGGTCCACAAACTGTATCTAAGATTTTAGTTTTTGCTTTGTATTTATTGTTAATATTAAGGGTAGGTTTGGTTGCTTCATTACAATGCGAGCATAGAGGGTTCAAACCACGAAAACAACCTCTCCACAGGAGGGGTAAAGTTGCATACATCTAGAGTTATTAGCCAAACCCAAGTTGTGTCAAAAACTATTTTTCAATTACAAATTGTTTTGAATTTATTTTCCAAACCCAGATTGCTTTCTGAAAATCATGTTTCGAAAACACAACTTTACGCTCGAAGCTGGCATTTTCAAAACACAACTTCAAAAAAAATTGCTTGGCTTCAGAAAAAAATGTTTCAAAACTACACTTTATTTGTATTATTAACACTATATTTTTGGGTTAATGAACTGTGTTACAGGTAAACAAAGAAACTACTTCTAATCACCTAATTCAAAGAAAGGAACTAAATAAGAATTTTAAGTAGGATCACACCCCTATATCACACAGAATTGAACAATCAAAGCTAAATTCAGAGTCTAAAAAAAAGTCTACCCAACCACCATACATATAAATCAATGAAGTTCCACAATCAAAATCATCTGATTAAAAAAATGAACACAAACCCTAGACAACAAATTAACAATCAAACAAGAAACAGAGTGAGGCCAACAATGTCTAATTTTACAGAGAAAAAAAAAAAAACACTACCTGTTCAACATCGTCGCGATCGAAATCGTCACGAGATTGGCTACCGTAAATGCCAGCACCTTCAGCATCAACACCGTTCTTCCCAAATCTGAACCAACAGGTGGCTCTCGAACCACTACTACTGGGTCCAATTTTAGAGGGTTTGAGCCATCCAAGTCTCTTTCGAATACCCAGAAACTGAGAACTGATTTTGAGCGAGTATTGAGTTGAGGGATGTGAAGAAGATGAAGAATTGTTGGGGTGTGAAGCGAAGATTGGTTGGAGAGTACAGGGGATTGAGGCCATTGTTGAGTTTCAGAGCAACCAACTTTATCATCAAACTTTATATCTGCTCTGCTCTCTGTTTCGATTATTTGTTTGTATAAATAATGTTTTTAAGGTATAACATACCAACAATCAGAGTGGCGCAGCGGAAGCGTGGTGGGCCCATAACCCACAGGTCCCAGGATCGAAACCTGGCTCTGATAGGAGAGTTGCTTCTCACACCCATATTTTTTTCATTCTTTTTTTAATTTAATTAATTATATCTCCAATCTTGTCGCTTTTTTTTCTTTTCTTTTTCTGTTTTTTCATTTTTCATTTTAAATTTTAAGGTAAAGGTATGTATATCTCCAATTATTGTTTTTTTGGTTTAATTTACAATTTTCAATTAAAGTATAATATTTTTTTTGTTCTTTTTTTTTATTTAATTAATTATCTCCAATCTTGTCACTTTTTTCTTTTCTTTTCTTTTCTTTTTTTTTTTTTTCCCAATTTCCTATTTTCATTTTTCATTTTAAGGTAAAGGTATATCTCCATTGTTTTTTTGGTTTAATTTCCAATTTTCAATTAAAGTATATATCTCCAATCATTTTTTTCTTTTCTTTTCTTTTTTTTTGTTTTTCAATTCAATGGCTTGGAGAGAAGTATAATTGTTTTATGCGTGGATTTCAACATTGAGTCCATTATAGGACATTTCCACATCAAAACAGGTATACTTCAAAAGATAGCAACCTTTCTTTTTTGTGGGGGAGGAAAAAAAAAAAAAGGACCTAAAATTAATTATTAATACTCTCTCCGTTTCAAAATATTGTTCTTTTTGAAAAATTTAACTTTTTTTATTGATAATACAATTATTACACTTCAAAAATATTAAATTTTCAAAATTATCCTTTGACTTTTTCTTGACAACATTAATTATCATAATTAATGAATTTAAAATAAGGATAGAATAAGAAATTTATATTATTTTAGTTCTTGATTTTTTTAAGAAGACTAATATTTAAGGACTATAAAAAATAGAATAAGAAATTAATATTTTAAAACGAAAAAAGTACGTAAAGAACCTATGCATTGTTGACGCTCTATTGGTGTTGTTACCTTTCCTTCAAGTTTAATTATTTTCTACTTTTTTTTTTTTTTCCCTTCTCGTAAACCAATTACAAACCAATCTAGGCTAAGTGAGAAAAGATCAATTCCTCCAAGTCCTCACTGTTGCAATAACTACAATATGAATTATGCATGATAGGTATTAGAAGAAGGATCGTTAACCTGTTTAGCATAGAGGTCAAGCTTCTCTTCAGTCGGAGATAGGACTAGAGCATACTGTTAGACCTGTGAGACCCACAACAGATGATCCGAACCGTCAATGTGTAGAGCTTGTCAAGTATTTTATCCCTGTAAAAAATCACGTTGATCGGATATCGATAGCTACTTGATCAAATTAGATTTCAATCAACGGTAAATATAATTTTCAAAATAAATTATTAACCAAAATCTGATCTGATCAAATAACTATCAATATCCAATCAATATGAATTTTTACAAAGATAAACTACTCCATGAACTCTACATATTCAACAGTTCGGATTATCGAAATAAAACTTATGATGGACCTCACATCTAGTCTACTTTGTGGACGAGAGACAATCACTTCCCTTAAAATAGTTATACAATCAAATGTTCTGTTAATTAATGCATTCATTCATTAGTAGGACAAAAATTCTATTGATGTAAATAAAGAAGAAGAAGATATCACAATCAAGCTCAAGGCTCCGAACCTATTCATGAACATTCAACAACAATAATTGCACTGTGCAACCCCCTTCATATCCCAAGAGACAAGAAGATCATGCCTAAAAATAAAACATTGGAAGTACAAGATGCTCCTCACTAACCCTAGAAGCTCGACATAAATCTAAGACGACTTGTCTTCGTAGTAGTAGAGAGGGCTAAAAGCATTTACTTGAAAGAGCATGACATCCCCACTTTTTTGGGGAAAAAAACTCCAAAATTTCATGTAAAATTTCGAAAAGATCTTTGGGAGAGATTGATGGAAGATTTACAAGTAAAAGATTCATAGGCAGCTAGGCCAGAGGTTTGTTCCAATGAATTCCTGATCCAACTCAGTATGGTCGGTGATAGATGCTACCTGCTGTGGGCATATGACCCAGATGTTGAAAAATAATCTCCATTTCTTTCAAAAACAATACAACTTACCATAATTTCAATGCAAGGATGCATGTCACTCTAGGTGGCCCAAATTTACCCGACAGGGCTAGTAAAGTAAAAGAGAATCATCATTAATTTTTTTTGTCATACCTGATCTCTCTACAACAGTTGCAGCAGTCCAAAGATTAGCATCCACTGCAATCTTAATTTTTCATAGAACAAAGTTTTCATACCCTTAATTAATTAACAAAACTTTCATTAGGAGAGACTAGATGTACTTCAACAAAGAGCGATGAAAGACCAAAAAATAGAACACATGATGATTTGAGGATCCATTCATTCAGCAAGCTATGCCTCAAAGCGCTTGGATTTCTTCTTCGAAGGTGGCTCTCTAGCAGCAATATATTTTTCAGCATCAATATTCTCCAATGATTTTTTGTTTCCAAACTCTTTTGCCTTTTTCTGCAATACAAACATGTAAGCACCAAGAATTTTTAAAAAAATAAAAATATATATATATTGGGGAGATTATAAAATGGCTTATTACCTTTAAAGACGTGGCCATGGCAGCCACATCATTCTCACCATCATTAGATGTGCCAGAAACAAGCCTTGTCGGTTCCTGCAATGGCATAACCGAGATTGAATGAGTAAAAAGAAAATACTGAAAGTAAAATCCATAATAAGGACGAATTTCACAAACCTACCTTGGGAGGAACAAATGCTTCTTCCCGTTTTCTTTTGTTTTCAGCTGTTTTTTCTGCCTGTTTCTCCTGCTTTTGTTGCCACTTCTTTGCCGATTTTTTTTCATCACTTAAAAAGTATTCGCCACTTTCCAGTTGTAAATCAATCTGAAGATAGTTTAGAATATTTGGATCAAAACACAACACAGAGGCTGAAAACACATTATTCAAGAGTTGTTCCCCTTAAGAACCAAGAGTAGAGAAAAACAAAAACAAAAACAAAAACAAAAAAATTCAATCATGCAAAGAAATTATAAGAAACAGGCTGGGATGGCAAAACCCGCTTCTTTGTGGATGCAGTGAAAAACATTTGAGACCCTAGAAAATCCAAAGCCATTACTCTCTTAGATTTGATCAAACAACTTGAGCAATGGAGATCAAGTCGATGCTATCTATGTTTACGACAACCAATGTCAAGGACAGACAATATTTAATAATATAACAATTAAATCAGAAAAGGAAGAAGGAAAAACAAGAATTAAACAAAAAAAACTTCAAATAAAACTTTCAACTTGTTGCTAATGAAAAAATTGGATTAGGACAAGTCTTTTACACATCAATAGATGTAAAAATTCAAAAATTCTGTTACTACTCTTTTTATTTATATATATATATTTAAAAAAAAAAAAAACTAATTATCAATGTCACAGAAAAAGATCCTCCTAACTAACAGGTGAATGAACCATGTCTAGTCTATTTTTCAGTTCTGCTCAAGTGTGGTAGGACATTGCAACAAGGTGCCGAATTGAACTATAATTAAGCAAGTCAATACCTGCCTAATTTGCTAAATCTTTACTGGTTAACAAACTTGATCAACTAAGATAATCAGTCCAAAGGAAATGTCTAGTACTAATACAATCAGAACACAGAAATGATAAATATATATATATATATTAAAGATTTTGATCTCTAACTGGAACGTATGAAACTTACCTTGCTAGGTTGTTGTGGAGGAGGGAATGGTGTATATGGTTTCTTCTCTTTACTCTTAACTTTCTTTTGCTTAACATTTTTCCTGTAAACAATAAGTGATAGAAAATGTTTAAAACCCTAAGCACAAAATAATATTTGCATTAATATTGGGACATAATAGAGTAGTTATTATACTTCTTGAAGTTAGGAAGAAATCTGTCCCAGTTCTCATTTGCAAGTGCAGGATCTTTTGCAAGCTCCTTCTTCAACATGAGGATCTATTACAAGGAGTTATCAACTGATCAGCATTTCCAGAAGTGGAAAATGATTTTAAAAAATTTTAAAAACGAAGTTTCGACAAACAATAGCAACGCTACCTTTATGTGGTATACTGGATGCATTTTATTCAGTATGCAGTCCTCCACTATCTTCCTAAGTTGTTTTAAACCTTTAAAGGAACCCATAGCAGAAACTGTGTTTCCCTACTCATTTACAAGTGCAATGTATCAGTATTTGACATCAAAAGGAAACAAATTTAAAATTCAATAAGCAAAACATTACTGTGGAAGTGCAATTTACTGGATTATTCAATTAAAGAGGAACGACAATCGTAAAGATATACCTGGATAAGAATATAACACCCTGTCAAAATCTCCAGTGCCTGCACACCAATAAAATTGTGAACAATGCAGCAAAGATGGTCAACTCAAACAGATTGAACAGTGTATCATGGTATGGGTATTAACCCAAGGGGCAGCGGCTAGTTTTTTTTTTTTTTTTTCCTTTTGGTTTAGTTTTCCTTTTCATTACTCTCAAGTTTCAGTTTTCCTTTTTTTTTTTTTTTTTTTTTTTTCCTTTTGGTTTAGTTTTCCTTTTCATTACTCTCAAGTTTCAGTTTTCCTTTTTAGTGATTCTTTCATTTCAATTTTCACTCCTCTGCTTCTACAGCCTTCTTTTCAATCCTCCTTCACTTTCAATTTTCAATATTCTTCTTCACCCCTTCTTCTTGTGTTTTATTTCTCATCTCCATTTTGGTTTATTTTCTTCTTATCTACTTTAGGTTTTTTTTTTTTTCCCCCTCTCTCTGTTTAGGTTCACTTTTTAGTCCTTTTTCTTATTTTGTTTTCATTTCTTAGTCATTCTCCTTCTTCGTTTTTGTTTTCACTCCATAGTTCTTCATTTTCTTTGTGAATCTGTAATAAACTGTGATGAAGTTTAATGAAGGCTTTGTCCTCCTTTTTCTTCGTACAGTTGTTGGGAAGTTTACGACAAGTGTCGTGTTGCATCAGTGTCCAACACACTGACACGCAATGCTACCTTCGTAGAAGTGTCCGTATTTCCTAGAGTTACCATATTGCAACCAATCCTATGATTTTTTCCTCGTGAAAAGGAAAAAGGGACCGGTGTTTGGGGGAAGAGTAATTCTTTGACTGTCAAATACCTTAAGAGTAGAAGAGTTGGGGCCCACAAGATGTTGTCTTCGTTTGACAAATCGTTCCTGCAAAAGATAATAATAATTGAGAACAAAATTCCATATTTTTATGTAATTATTAAATCTACTTTGATATCATGTCACGCACAATTTGTTTGCATATAAAGTCAATGAAATTTCATCCATCTTATCTGTACATATTTTCTAGCTTTTCCTTTTAACTGCATTTCTTCCCAATGGAAATGGGTCAATGAACATTATAACCATCAAAGCATTCTGATGGCATTGAATATGTAACACTTGCAAGAAGTTTTGGACCTGATGAAATGCAAAAGTCGGTACTGAAACTGAATACTTTCACAAAAAACCATACTTTTCTAGTAATATGACATGAAAATGCAAAATTATACTCAACAAGTGAAATCTTCTCTCCTTTTCGACAAGATAAGATAACAAACCACTTCTTGGCCTAATAAATACCATTACTAGTCACTACAAACTAGGCAACTCGTCTCATCAAGACATCACAAATTTCCAGAAATAAAGCACTCAAGTTCATGTCATTAGTGTCAACTTTAAGTGTTAACTTAACTCAAAAACACTCACCTTATTACGAACTAAGCTGCCAATCTTGATGATGTCGCACTGCATTTCATCATTCAGTATCTTGATTGCCTATGACATCAAAATGTTGTGAGAACATGAACATCAAATAAAAGATATGATCGATTCCCTAAAACCTCTAAACCAATATAAATTTCCCTAGAGGGCCAAAAAAAGTACGACAAAATAAAGATACCCCAACAACAATACAGGTAGTAAGATCTGATGGTCAGTCATTCAAATAAAATATAAAGAGGTGACATAACAGTCAAAAAACTCAGTAACTTTTTCAGCAAATAAATTAAATTATTTTGTCGTTAGGTAGTAAGGAGAAAGGAGATCTTCCAATAAAAATTCCCATGTGCAGAAGAATATTCAAATAAAAAAATAAAATAAAAAACACCAGTAAGATACCTGAGGGGCAGGAACACTTCTTGACAAAAGTTTAATGAGATCCCTAGCTTTCACAATAATATAGGGATCCCTTGTCTTCCTAGTCGTTGAAACAGTCATCGAACCCTCAACCTAACCAAACACTAAAACACTTGAGTACAAAAGATGTTATAAAACCTTTGCTGCTCAATTAATAAGCACCCAAGGAATGGGAAGGTAAACACAAGTATCATTTTACCCATTACAAAGAAAATTAACTTTAGTCAAAACCCGACAAAATCCTTAACTCTCACCCTAACTACTTGGGATGGACATGAATTTTTCTTTTCCTCGTAAATCCATTTGGGTTGATATCCTACATCAGATCAAGTTACCAGCAGTAACCCCATAATAGTCCATCCCATCTACTGCCCTAACTAAAATGTGCAACAGGGAGAATGGAACCACAAAAGGAAAAACACTCTTCAAAGCCATGGCGCCCATTGGTACCACCAGTGTTATCAATCCCCTACGGTATCGGTGGCTACCGGGTGAAACATACAATTTCAACAATGAAACAGAACAGTGCAACTCAAATACTGTTTAGTTATTTACTGTTTTGATATTGCAACTCAGAAACCATTTTGGGTGTTTCAGTAAATTTTGGTGCAATTTGAGCAATTTAAGTGTGCTCTCTCTCTCAACTTTCCTTCTTGTTATTTGCAACTGATTCACATCCTTCCACAAACATTCTATTTTGAGATTCTAACAAATGCACAATAAATAAAGATATCAAATTTACACCAATCTAAGCAACCTAACCAAACCCTATTTTCCCAAGATTGGGTTAAGCAATCTCAACCAAGGGGGGTTTGAGTTGAGTTGTGGATAACCTGCCCTTCAACTTAACATCAACCTTACTTCTACAGCATTACAAACTAACTTCAGTGTCACTAAATGATTTCTGCATGACTTCATTTAGTATTTAGTTGTAGGTTATCAAGTCTACTTGTTTCAAATATAATAAAGGGATGAATCCATAGATATATTTTGACAAGCTCCACGCTTAAGTATATTCACAAACAAAAAAAATTGAGAGCACTTACCAAATTCAGCTCACATGAAATTCCATGCTCTTTCAAAGCACCTTTCACGCCAGGCCAAGCTTCTTGCAAGTATTTTTCTGCACAGGACAATGCAAAGGTTCCCAAAAATCACAATAAAGTCTCGGATAGCAACCTCAATTGAATGTTTGACAGTAAGGCATATTATATGTATTCTCACATGATTGTTACATAAACACATGCATCTATGCACATATGCATTGCAACGAAAACACATACAACCCAAGTTATACAATTAAATAAGTGCTCAAAAATTGCATTTCACAAAAAAGTCAAGTGGACACCTAAATGTTAGATAAGACTATCATAACTAGGGGTGTGCATAATACTGCCGAAACCGTCAAAACCGCACCGAACCACACCGCCAAGGCAAATTCGTTATTATTTACCAATCAAACCGCCGGTTTTTAGTAAGAAAAATGACAAATTCTAGTGACACTTTTATCAATCTGCCGATTTTTATTTTTCTTCCAAACCGCACCGACCCGCACCGCTATTAAATCATGTTTTATAAGATTCTAAAAATTCATTTTTACTTAAGTTTGCTTGTTGTTCTATACCTTAGAATATAGTATTACATTACTGCTCGAGGGAAATTCAAGATGTCAGTAATCCAAAATAAAGTTGGATTCCAATTCACTTTTCAATCTTTTTTTTCTGGCCATGTTGCAAACTTGCATCGGCTCACTTTTCAATCTAAATACTTTTCAACAGTAAACATTTTCAATATATTGTAAACCCTGAATGATATTAATTTTATGTATTGTATTTGATCATTGTAACTTCCACAGATGCTTATAATGAACTGATGGCATAGTCGTTGATATTATCATGTTGTTGCTACACTTGCTGCATCAGAAGAAAGCTTCGCAAGGTACTTACCATCACGGTATCTCTCGTCTTTTTTTTACTCTTTGATTTAAGTTTTGTAATTTGAATTATATTTTTTATAAACCGACAATAAAGTCTCGGATAGAAACCTCAATTGAATGTTTGACAGTAAGGCATATTATATGTATTCTCACATGATTGTTACATAAACACATGCATCTATGCACATATGCATTGCAACGAAAACACACACAACCCAAGTTATACAATTAAATAAGTGCTCAAAAATTGCATTTCACAAAAAAGTCAAGTGGACACCTAAATGTTAGATAAGAGTATCATAACTAGTCCACTGGTTGAAGCAGAAAATGAACAATTTCTGCGGATTTTGGACCTGCGTGTCCCTTCTCCTCGTTAAATAGCATGGTAATGTAAGCTTAAACAGGAAAAGTACGGTCATGTTCCATCTGCATAAAAATAAAATTGAACAGACTTAAACATGAGTCAGAAAGAAACACAACTGAGACATATGCTTGGGCAAGTGGTGTACACGTACTACATGGATGGATGGTATCGAAGATTTTATGTACCTATCAAAAAAAGAAAAATCAATACTTACAATTTACAAATCATTATGGTCTTGGTGGGAAACTACAATTCCTAAATAATTGTCATTGCTCTTTTTTTTTTTTTTTTGGGTGTTTAAAACTGAAGAACTTCAACTACAACCATATTGTGCATGAATGTAGAATTATATTCCGGTTCAACTGCAATAGCCTACAGCTCTTTGTAGTTGATTTATTAATAGAATTTTGCATTGCGCTCTTATTATTCTATATTCAACACCTTTAATTTCATAAAATTTTCTACTTTCAACAATTATTTGGCCCCCAAAATCCTTCACAAAAGGATTATCAACTTATATATAAACTAGTTATAGTAGGTGAACAAATGGCTTTTATAAACTATATGCTCACATGGGAATTGATGAAGTGCTTCAAAGAATTGTGTGTGCATTAGTGATAGCTTGATGCAACAAAAATGGCACATTGTTTGCTTCGTTTTATTTTTATTTTTATCTTTTTTGTGGGACAAGTGACAAATTTGGGTATATAAAAAAAATTTATTGTTCGTGTCATATATTAAGAGAAATCTTTGTATTATTTTGGTGTCAAAAGCTTAGAAATTCCCTTTTCAACAAATATTTTCAATATTGCAGCCAAACACCAGAAAATGAGAATGATCATATTATTTTACAAAGAAATAGGTTTTACAAGAAAAATATTTCCAGCACAAAATATTTTACTTAGAAACAAATGGAGTGTGCATTAAGAATGCTAATTAATAAGTTGATTTTAGGCTTTCATGTAAAATATTTTGCATGTACAATGTTTTCCTGTACAAGCTAGAGGGGATTAAATTTTAGGGATTTTTGGAAGGAGATAAGGTTTACCTCTATACTGAGGAAAGAGGGTAGAGAAAGAGCTGACTTCGAGCATGCCGCCTTCATTCCAAGAAGGGTCAAACTTGTCGATTTTCCAGTGATCGATATTGGGGTCATCCCATGGCTTTGGTTTGTCGTGCTTCCCCTTGTGCTTGGTCTTCGGCTTCTGCTCTACATCGCTATTGTCGTTCTCGATCACTTCATCTGAATTCCCCATCTGTGGAAAAACCATAGAGACCTCAGTCACTGCTCAACATCATGTGAACTTTTAATAATTAATTCAAGAATCATAGATTCATAACTCAATTCATTAGTGCCTTATAATCAATATATATATAGTATTAAGTGTTGAACATTTAGATTTTCCAAAACAAAATTCATTCGTCTCTAATTAAAAAAAATACAATTCATTCAATTTCCTCAAATATCTCAATTTATAGAATCTCCCAACCAGCATAACCCCAACCAGTTCTATATTTTTTTCAAAATTAATAAAAATCATTTCCATCCTGATGTAGCCACTGCTCAAAACTCAAAATCCTAAACTGAAGATATATATTACTCAACATAAATTGCAACAATTGTCACAAAATTACATGAACTATAACTTGGAACAAATGGCAGTCACTCCAATATCAGTTTCCTAAAAGGGAAAAAAATATTTCTTTGATTGCCTAAAAACAAAGTTTCAGAGAAACCCATAAGTTCCTTGCTTTCTCTATATCGAACTACAAATCTAGTTCAAAACAAAACCCATAAAGACATCACTACACACGTTACAAAGAAGCATGAAATGGGTGTGCTTCAATACCCAACTCTGAGATAGATCAAAAGAGAGAAACACTCACCGGAAAACAAAAAGTACGCCGGAGAACCACCGTCGATCGAAAGAGAGAAAGCCGAGAGGGACGGAGGTGAGGGAGAGGCCCCGCTACGCTGGGGCTCGTGAGAAGAGAGGGAGGAGAGAGTATGAGATGAGAGTTTAGAATTGAATTGAAACCCACCTCCTTCACTAAACCCTCCCTTTACTACACCCTCAAATTATCATATGAACCCTAATACCAATTTGGAGAAAAATTCTATTTCCACAATTTTTTTTTTTTTTTAATCAGTGTAAATTTTTATTATAAATTTATCATAAAAAAATGATTATAATGGATATCAATATACTCCTTAAATATTAAAATTAAATTTCTCTTCATACATCTTTTGAAAATAATAATTCCCCATGTATAACCCTTTTAAAAAATAAAAAGTTAAAACTTCACTCCTTTCATTAACCATACTCTAATTGTCCGATGAAAATATGAGTTTTATGTACAAAAATTGATTTTTTTTATTTTATTTGCAATTGTCATTTAGCAAATCAATGTTCAAAATTTTCATTATGTTCGGAAATTAATCGCTCCAATTTTAAACTGGGTGATGAAGACCCCCTTCAATCACCACCCCCACCACCCCACACACATACGTGGCGGGTGATGATTGGAGGAGAAAGAAAAAAAGAACAAAAGAAAAAAAAAAAAAAAAACTAAGCAATTCCAGAATTACCCAAAGGGGGTGACAAAAAAAAGAGTCACATTTTTGTTCTAAACTCTATCCAACAACAATTCCAACCGCTCCAATCTAGGAAGGAACAAAATGAAATCAACTTATGAACCCTTCAAATAGCTCGAATCAATAGAGAAACAGTTGGGTTTGCTAGAATAACAACCGAGGAAGCTCAATTCTATCTAAAAAACTATTAATGAGAGCTTCGTAGAACTCCAATCAAAAGTGAAGGAATTAGATTCCGTGAAACAATCAATTGAACATGAAGCTTGAATCAAAAGAAAAACAATTTGAATAACTATGCAATGAAATCGACTCCAAAGAGGTTTGAAGGTGTAATGTGTGGAAAAATCTATTTGAGTTGTAGGGTTATGATTAAAATATTTAGTGTGTGGAATGAGAATAATAACGTATAATTAAATTCATAAATGTGTCAACTAACATATGATGTGGACAAATATTAAGGCCAAGTTTGGGAACACCCCAAAAAGCTAAAAAGTCAAAAAGTTACTCAAAAAGTTAAAAAGTTATCACTATTCACCAAAAGTCAACAATTACGGCTGCACAACTCCCAATTCTAATTTTCTCCTACAAATCAATTTTTACAATTTTTTATTACACATTTTTCCATAAAAAGTCAAAAAGTTAACCCAAACATTCATATTTTCAACCTCAACTTTTTAGTCTAAAAAGACAAAAAGTACACTTATTTAGTCTTCCCAAACTTTGCCTAAATTAGGTGTGAAAATAGAATTTTCCTAATTTAGAGTAATTTTATTTGGGAGATGTATTATTTTTTATTTTATTTTTCCTAAAATCACTTATCATATTTTTTCTTTTTTCATAAACAAACAATAAAATAATAAAGTAATAGATTTTCAGATATAACAAAAGGCAGTTTGACAAGTTTGGTATATAGAGTAGGGAGCGACGTGGATGATAAGTTTGTCAAGCGTCGCTTATAATTAACAAAAATGTTTGAGACCCTATTTTCCTCTCACTCCTTTTGATCTCCTTTCTCTCTCATTAGTCAGTTTTTCTTTTTTTTCTTTTCCTTCTCCTCCAATCACCACCCGTCACGTGTGGGTGGTGATTGGAGGGGTTCTCTATCAATGCTCTATAATTAATTCATATAATTGTAGCTGAGGTTAGAGCGTTATAATAACTATAATCTTAATTAATTTGATAAATATTTTAGTTTTTTAAAAAACAATTGAAATAATATTACTTAGGAAAATAAATATCTCTAGTTAAATTTTTTTAATTCATTTAATTTCCTCAAATACCCCAATGGATGTAGTTGTAGCACAAATCCTTCCATTGTATTAACAACATGGGAAGAAAAGAGATTTCATTGAATAAACATTTATAAGCTATTATCATGAACAAATTATGCCCTATGCTCTTGAATGATTCACGCAAAAAAAAAAAAATTAAAAAATTGTACACACAATTTGAATGATAAACACATAAAATAATTTATCTACTAAATTATGGAATAAACTACCACACTTAAAAAATTATACACACACTCTAAATGATTCCTTCAATTTGTTCATCAACCATATTGGAGAAAAGAAAGAGAAAGAAAAGAGGGACAAAAGAATACAACAGTGCGAGGTGAGTGGAAAAAGTGAGGCAGGATGTGCTACAAATAGAAAAGAGAGATAAAGTGAATAAAAATTGAAGAGCCGTAATTTTTAGAATCACATGAATTAATTAAGCAAATTTCAATGAGTATGATTGTAACTTACCTATGTATTTATTTATTTAATATAAATCAGGGCAAATTATATTTTAACCCCCTCAATTATTATTCCGTAACACATAAAATAGTATATTTTTTAGAGACATTTACTAAATTACGGAATAATCTACCACCCTCTCTACGTGGGCGGTAGTATAAGTAAGTTATGTGAGAGGTGATGTCATAGCTTATTGGACAGCCAAATTAATTATCTATTTATATATTTAAGATTGTTTACATAATTCAGGATGGCACTTTCCTTTTTTTAATAATATTATAATTTAAATACCGTTAAGTCTTGAATCCCAATTTAAAATTTTGTAATGGAATTGATTAATCTGTCGTCGGGAAAAATTAGGGTGAACAATTCTTACTATTACGCCCACACTTCTATCATTGACACGATCAAAAATGAGCCAATTCTCTCAAGTACCCCTACAAGAAATTCTTGCTATTTCTTCTTTCTTTTTCTTTTTTTAATATTTAAATATCATCATATAGGTTCTGATCAATATGTAATTATACATTTGACTAAGGATGCTTTATGACTTAATCATTTTTTTTAAATTTATTCAATTATATAAACACATAATTCTTCATTATTAAATAGACGCACAATAAATTAGGGATGGCAATGGATAACCTACCCCGTGAATATCTATGGAGACTCAACCCAAATACATGGGTTTCCCCTTTTTTTCTTATCCATTGGGTAGGGTAAGTAATATTTTTTAAATATTCATAGGGGATGGGTACCTACTAATTTCCTCATATGTTTTTTTTTTTTTTTTTAAGATTCACAACTAAAACTAAATATACATTCAATCTTTTTTCTTTTTTTTATCGTCCCTCTGCAGGCATCTATCTTTCCATACCTGGAGGTCGTCCTTGTTATAATACCCGCTCCGGTCCGATTTCTTCGGTACGCCGCTCTTCTGACCGACGTCCTTTCTTCCGTGATTCTTATCACGAGTCTCTTCGTTGCAGTTGTCTTCTTTGATGTCAAGGTCAATATGTTTCCCACTCTCAGTAGGGGTGTCGTCCCAAACCTTCTCTTTCTGCCCGTCGTTGGCCATCTATTCTCCTTTCTTTCCCACAGACGGCGCCAAATTGTGTGTGTCAATTTCCGACCACACTGCCAAACTAGTATTCAGCTGGAGAGCACCGACAAAATAAATTAAGCCCGAATGACCTGTCACAGAAAGATAAGAATCTGGCGGTGGTTCGTCCACCCGAGGGCACTCCGACGATCAAGTCAGTATATCTCAAAGATAATCAATAGTGCTAATCTCACTGTTCAGAATATAAATTGCGTACCTTAGACCCATCCTCTCTTTTATAGTTAATTCAATCCTAGTCCCCATAGAAGCCTAGCTTCAATAGACTTCTGCTCAGTGCTTATCCTGGACTCTCCAAGAGATAAAGATAAACTCCCTAAGAGTGTTATCCTTATCCATACTGAAGTCCTTTCTCATTCTAGGACTCTTGTGCCTTATCCACTTATCCCGGATTCTGATATCTTCGGAGGTAACCTCGGCCTAGCTGAGATAACCTCGGCGTCATGACCAGGACACGTGGCACCTCAGCTGACACGTCGGCGTCACCTTGGCCACGTGTTGGTACTCAGAAAATATATTCCTACAACTGCCCCCTAGGCTCTATTACCTCGGCAATTTGAGGTGATGGAACCTATAGCAGAACTTCCTTCCAGTACGTCGGCTTAAAATTTCTTTAGCCGAGATCATCATACCGGCCGACATGTCTTTTTTAAAGAACATGAATTTCAAGAGCTCTTTCACGCGTATGAGTTGTCGTGCACAATAACTCAACCGTTTTAGCCACGCGTCTTCCCCTTACTGGATTGTACTTGATACGTATTTGTGAATTGTCTCACGCTTGCGTGTGCCGTCTAACGCATACGTTGTTTTAGGCGCATTAATTACCTTTTTGCCACCGTTTCGAGTTTTGACAAAACTTCTTTCTCCTTTCGTCTTTTCACTTTACATCGTCTTTGTTCAAACTCTTTCTCTCTCTTACTTTCTCTAATCCTCCATTGTTCCAAGCTCTAAAGCTTTGCTGCCACCACCGTTTCATCTCTTCCGGCGAGGCTCTTTTTCTGCTGCCGCCGTTCGTCTGACTTCGGCGATCCTTACACCGGCTTTCCCTCTTCGGTGAGTTACTGTTTCCTCCCGATTTAACTTCTCGTTTCAGTTTTTGATGGTATCTTGAATCTTTGTCATTTTTGCGAACTTGCTTATGACCTTGATTAGTTTAATCTATTCATGTATCTGAGTATGGTTGTCCCACGATTCTGTTTTCGCCCAATCTTTTCTTGAGTATTCACAACCTGCACACACATTTGTTCACTTTTGCCATTGTTCTTGGCCTTGCACCCTTACACACACCCTGTCACAGTGTTCTTGGTAGTTCATCCTTATTCTTGATTCTGAAACACGTTCTTGTTTTCTGTTTTCTGTGGTTTTTCCAGATTCCTGCCTTCAATCTTTGTTCCTGTAGATCTAGGTTTGGGATTTGTTTGTAGAACCCACAAATTCTTAAGAAAAACTAAAACGTATTCAGTCGTCAATTTTAGCCGAGGTCATTCAAAATCATCACAAAACATTCCCTTCTGAAGTCTCACACCTTTCATTTAAGCCGATATTATGGGTATGTGGAGGCATAGGGTAGACACCCCGACCAAGCTAGAATACTTTAGGCGAGAGTTTTCCATCCCTGCCGACGT